AGCACCAATAGTGCAAAGCGAAATGTATGCGATTAGATATACAAAACAGAATGTACTCCAACTGATCTGTGAAGTATAAGAGGCAACGGTGTAATGGAGATGTAAGGAAGATGTAGGGGTGGGAATTATTTTCACGTATATCTGTCCAAGCACTGTCGTGGGTCATGTTCGATAAATTTGAGCATCCTAGCTATTCGGGTTGCAGAAGTACCAGAGCTGTCTGCGTCAATTACATTCGTCCGTACGTGAGATGCAGGAAGTTTTCAAATATACGACCCATACATGGACAGTAAATAGTCCCGAAAAATCGGCAATTACGAAACCTCTGCTCGACTCGACGCCAATGGGAGAGGCTCTAGCTCCTCTGCTAGCGATGTTTCGGGGAGTCACCTGCCGGTGTTGCTTGGTACTTTGCTAGGGGGCGCACGACAACTCTCAGCTGATGTCGTGGATGGGGAAGGGGAAGTGGAGGTGCTGAATGGAGGGGTATGACATGGTAAGGAGGAAAGGGCGGTGGTTGGCGAGTGCCCAGATGCAGCTTCGAGACAGAAACTAGGCACGGGATAGAGGAGAAAAGCAAGGGTGCTAGTCAGGAGTTCGAGAGGAGGAATGGTGATATTGGAGGATGGTGGATAATGGGTGCTTAGAGCTGCTTTGGCAAGATCTGGCGACAGAATAGAAGAGAGGTACAATGGTACTAGACAGGAGTTTGAGGCAAAAACTGAAGACAGCAGTAAAAAGGAATAACACAACATCACAAAGAAAAGTAAATCAAAACAAACTTGAACTAATGAATAAAAACGAAAAGAAAGCGAAAACAAAAAATCAGAGCCTACAAATAAAAGCAAGAAAAGCTAAGCTTATGGAGCAGGAATTGTCTTACAGAAACCCCGTCGTCAGCAAGGGCTTCCTCGTTTATGAAGCTGATAAACAGGTGAAGTTGGAGGCGAATAGTTTCTTGCTTCAAGCTCTTGGCTTGTGTCCTCGCTTCCCTTCTCTATCCTGTCCCCAAATCCTACTTGCAAAGCAACATTTGAGTTCCACTCATCCACAGTCGAACATTAAGTTGCTAGAATTTCAACTTCATTGCGTTCGCAGAAATGAAAATCGAAATATATAAATATATGCATTCATGTATTTAATAATAAGTATATAAATATGTGTATATTTACACATTTCAGTCTTCAGGTCGGCTGTGTAAACAGAAAGACACAACATTTTCTTCAACAATACGTGCTCAGAAATGTAGCCAGGCATAAAACAGGCTCGACCTAGGAGAACCTATGCAACCCATTTAACTGAAGGATTAAAAAATGTGAATTAACGCAATCAAAAACAATTCAAAAGCACTCACTTTTTTTCAGCAGGATGGTCATGAGAAGCTCTGTCAGTTCGTGAAGTGGCCACTTGATCAAATTCAGCCACTGAAGGCATCGATTCCACATTTTCCGTACTGTCTTTATTCTTCAACTTTGATGAAGCAGACTGAAAAAAGCAGCCACTTTGGTCCCAGTTCTTCGGCTTTAACAGTTACATCTTCAAATTTTGGCAATGTGCAAAGACTCACGGTGCCGTGCGTTTCCTCGTACTTTTTGAGCAACTCGCTTTCACGCTTCTGTTGTTCTTCGTTCTGCGCGCGCAGTTTTGCCGCTCTTTTTTCATTTAATATTTTTTCCATGAAAAGCCGTGCCTACAAAATCATTATAATTATCTAAGGCGTGTTCTTCTGACAATTTCTTTTTAGAATATGGATTAGTTAAGAATGAGTTGTGAATTGTGAAATACCTTTATTTTCCGCTCTGTTTGAAGCTCAACCGAACCTTCCACTGTAAGTTGTCCGGTCGACAAAGGAACTGGTGCAATTGGCGGCGGCGGAATAGCTAAGCCTGGTGGCGGAATCTGAAACACAAGACGTATTAGCTGATTATACATCATTTAGCACTGGACCTGGAACAATTTCGAAAACCACAATCAGTGGCGGAAGGTAGCTGTAGATGAAAAAA